ATTTCGTATTATTACAGTGTTTTTGGTGATTTTATCTGCAAAATAAGTGACCATGGGCCCCAAGAAAGCTTCTAGTGCCAACCCTACAGCAATAAGGGTGAGAATTTCTATAGAGATGAAGAAAAAGATCATTGATAAGTATGAAAGTGGAGTGCGTGTCTCCGAGCTGGCCAGGTTGTATAATAAACCCCAATCAACCATCGCTACTATTGGTGGTACAGCTGCTGCTGCTGCTGTACCACCGTCAGCTGCTGCTGCTGCTGCACTGTCAGCTGCTGCTGCTGCTGTAGCACCATCAGCTGCTGCTGCTGCTGTAGCACCATCAGCTGCTGCTGCTGCTATAGTACCGTCTGCTGCTGCTGTAGCATCGTCTGCTGCTGCTGTAGCACTGTCAGCTGCTGCTGCTGTTGTACCACCATCAGCTGCTGCTGCTGTAGTACCATCTGCTGCTGCTGTAGTACCGTCTGCTGCTGCTGTAGCATCGTCTGCTGCTGCTGTAGCACTGTCAGCTGCTGCTGCTGCTGTACCACCGTCAGCTGCTGCTGCTGCTGTAGTACTGTCTGCTGCTGCTGTAGCATCGTCTGCTGCTGCTGTAGCACTGTCAGCTGCTGCTGCTGCTGCTGCTGTAGCACCGTTGTTGGTGTGGCTTATTGAGAATACCAAGAAACAATTAACCCCAGAGGATTTGCCACCCAGGATAACCCAAAAAAGTCAGTGTCATCGAAGACTGTCTAACTTATTTCCATTGGGGTCCTTAATCTTGTCTCCCAGGATGCAACCCACACCAGTCGACTAACACCCAGGTGAACAGGGAAAAATGCCTGGAACTAGTGCTCATATTGGTGAATTTAAAGCCAGCAAAGGTTGGTTTGAGAGATTTAAGAATCGTAGTGGCATACACAGTGTGATAAGGCCTGTTCTGGAAGAAAATGCCAAACAGGACCTACAGTACTCAGGAGGAAAAGGCACTCCCAGGACACAGTGTCTCATCAGTCATTGCTGCATCTTCAATAAAGGTAAGTGTCATTTATTCTTCATTTAGTAGAGTAGTACATGCACAATATATATTGTGCATGTACTACTCTACTATTGTGCACGTATCCTTCTCTTTGTGTGTAGGAAAATGTATATTTCATGTGGTAAAATTTTTTTTTCATACTTTTGGATGTCTTGCACAGATTAATTTGATTTCCATTATTTCTTATGGGGAAAATTCATTCGCATAACGATAATTTCACATAACAATGAGCTCTCATGCACGGATTAATATCGTTATGCGGGGGTCCACTGTATTACCACTCCAAGAAAACTACTCTGTTGTATACTGACCAACTTAAGTCACCCATGACAAAAATACAGAATACCGTATCTCTTTTTCATATAGTTATTTCATTCTCTTATTGCTGTTTTTCATATACGTATGCTTATTTCTGTTATTTAGATGACCTGTTTTTAGCTACAGGAGTAGAATCATGCTTGTGATGTCCTATTTTTGGTATTTCATCTGATCACATATATGAGTGTATCCTGCAGCCTCTCCCACAACTCTTTCAAAACTTGATCCCATTCATCATCAGGGATTATGTTTATATCTAGGCGCTTTTCATTCCTTCCCTGACGAGAGCCTATAGGCAGAGGCAAAATGTTCCATCCTTGAACATTCGGCATGATGCCCATTGCCTCTGATACTTTCTGCTCTCATGACTTCACAACCCATCTACATACAGGTTGGTAACGGATGTTAGTAGAGGTCCATTATTTAATCACTGCCCCTGTTTATCCTGTCCCTTTTCATCTTCACTCGCTCTTGACTTCTCTTCAATTGCCTCCTTTATATGTTCATCTAGCATCTATCTGTTCTCTTCCTCCCTTGAGAGGTTCCATCAGTTTGAGTCTGTTCTTCCCCACTGCTATGCACAAAAGCTCAAATACCTACAGTTGTTTCTCTCTCCCTTTTTCTTCACCACTCCAGTCTTATTCTCATGCCATTGAAGTTTACACTGATAGTTCTGAATCCTCTGATGGTGCTGGGTTTACAGCAGTGTTCCCGGACAGTGTTGTACGAGATCATTTATTAGACTCAGCTAGCGATTTCACAGCTGAACTCTATGCAGTTCTCCTATGTATTGCATTCAGACCTACCTCAACATTCATGGTAGTTTCAGACTCCTTCAGTCCTTTATACTATCAGAAGATTTTCTGCTGTGTCCCTGGTTGTGTTGATGTTGAGGGCAATGAGCAGGCGGACTTTGCTGCGCAGTCAGTGATACATGACCTTCCAGTTTCCTAGAGGTATTCCATTGTCAGACTATCTTGCTGTGATCTTTGGCCTAAGTTGATTCATAACAAATTACATACATTCTCTCAAGCTGTGTTTAGGATCCTGACCTTATCATCATCGATGTCATGGCTGGGAAACTATGCTTGTCTGTCTTCGCATTGGGCACACATGTCTAGCTCGTGGATATCTCACGGAGAGACATCCAGTTCCACTCTGTGCAAACTGTCAGGTTCCAATTTCAGTTTGCCATATTCTGTTCGACTCTCCTGTCTATTAGCAAGTATGCAGAATTTACCACCAACATCGTCACGCTCTAACACCCTTACTTTATCGTCCCTCTTTGCTGACAGCCGCAGCACTGTATAGCCCTTGTGGCTTAGCACTTCTTTTTGATTATAATAATAATTTGCTGACAGCCCCATCTTTGCCACAAACTCCCTCTTTGACTTTTTGACACCAATAGATTTATTGCACGACCTTTGATTGTAGTTTCTTTAGCACTCCTCACCACCCTCACAAATTCTACCTGTTATACTCCCTACCCTGCAGTGCTGTATGACCCTGGTGGGTTTAGCACTTAGTTTTTATTATAATAATAGTGTCTTTCTGACACCTTTTAATTTTCCCTTGCTCTTCCTGTTGATTTCATTAAATTTTCTTTCATATTTTGTAATCTTGTATTTAATTACGTCTTCCTTCTCCCTGTCAGCCAATGAGGGCATATCTAATACGTACTGTACTTTTAACCTTTCTAACTAACTTATTTTAGTTATAAAAGCCATTTTGTAGCTTGTCTTTGGGCTTTTTCTATTTTTTTTTTTTTTTTTTTTTAAGGTGTGGATACCACACTACTGCATATCCCAGTTTTGGCCTAAAAGATATTGAGAACTAGACAGACTATTAAGTATTACTTCTTATGCAGTTGACTACAATCATAAGTAAATTATATACTGTCGAAGTCATTCTATTTCATTCCATCCTCCCCACATGTCCAAACTATCATTCATACACAATCACTGTCTTTGCAGAGGTGCCCCAGATATGACAGTTTAGATGTCACTCCAAACAGCCAATAACCCAAACCCCTCTATTCATACATTTGAAAAAATACAAGGTTAATAGGGACCACACAGTGTATCATAGTTAACTACTCAGGTGATGAAAGTGTGCCTGATGTACTAGTACACCTAATTAGTGAAAGTAAACGAATTCAGGAGCTGCTGTTCTTACAGCAACTTCCCAACCAGCAAATGGGGTGTAGAAGTGGCACAAAGATGACTTCAATATATTACAATTTCATGATACTAACAGCAAAATCCAGCACAAAGAACACTAAGTATATTTAACCCAGGATAATCCAGTCAAGTCAAACAATGTGACTTATTTCCATGCTAAAACAACTATTACAAATATTTCTGCCGGACTTGAGTCCTGGAGATGGGAAGTACAGTGCCTGCACTCTGAAGGAGGGGTGTTAATGTTGCAGTTTAAAAACTGTAGTGTAAAGCACCCTTCTGGCAAGACAGTGATGAAGTGAATGATGGTGCAAGTTTTTCTTTATTGGGACCACCCTGCCTTAAGGTGGGAATTGGCCAGTGTGATAAAAAAATAATAAAAATATCTGCTGTATGGCCCTTGTGGGTTTAGTGCTTAGTTTTGATTATAAGTATTCCTTGTACATGGCCTGAAAAGAAAAGACTAAATAGTAAAAAAAAATAGAAAAATAATTATGTATTCCAAGTGGAGCAATGTCAGGTTAAGCATTTCCCCAAGTTTGAAGTGTTGAAACATCTTCAAAAATCTATTATCATAAGAAACGAGTGTATGTGGTGTTAAGACATTAAAGGAAATTAAAAAAAAATCATGGTGTCAATTAACCCTCAATGTAAATATTTCTGGCACTTTTATGCTAGTGATAATTTTTTTCCAACTTCATTATGCCATAGAATCTCGGATTTTTATCAGATTCCATTCATGTTAGTTGTACTCAATTCAGAAAAAACTCATTCTGCATTTTTTTTTTTTTTCAAAATATTTCCACGATTTTTTTTCTGGGTATCCCACAGTTTAAGGTCTATGTAAATTGCCAGCTATTCCCATACATTTACATCTACCACACTGCTCTCCTCTCCATCCTATATTCCTTTTCTTAATAAATGTAAAGTTCCTTACCTTCAAGTATTGTTCATTTGTGTGCTTCAATGTTAATCCTTGGTGTACACATCTACCATTATTCCTCTGCAAGCCTACAATTCTTTCAATAATGTTTCTAGAATACACTTTACCTGGTATATTCACCACACTTATTCCTCTAGTTCTCTCACTTTCTTTTATCCCCTTATACAAAAGAACTAGGCATAGGCTCTGCAGTCACTAAGTACTTTCTCTCCTTTCATGCATATAATTAACAAATGCATTAACCACTCCAAAACTATATCCTCACCTGCTCTTTACATTTGTTAATACCAGCTGCTTTACCCACTTTCATTCTACCCACTCTCACACCTACCCCACACTTACATCTGGCTCTTTCCTCACTCATAATAGGTGTTAATCCTCCCTGCTTAAGGCAAGAAATCACAGTTTCCCTGGCACAATATTTTTTTGTGCATAAAGTGTATCTACTGCATCATATATTTATTTGGAAAATTCAGATTTCACAAGATAATTTAGTATGAGCTAGGAATTGCAACATATACTTATGAAACAATATACAATCTTCTGGTGTATTGTTTTATTATAAGACTAGTAACAAAATTAAATAGTACACTTTCCAAAAATATAAGGAATACAGTAAAATTGGTGCACAGTACAGTACATGAAATGTTCTGAAAGTATTTCTCATAAAGCATGTTATAAAAGTGGCAAAACAAAGAACATTATTACAAACTTCCACAAAGTTGGACTGATATTGTATATGAAACACAAGACTAAATCTAAAATAAATATTTAAAATAAATTCTAAACAGTACACTTGCAATGATAAATGAGTAGCATGGTAACTTCATTTTTTCATACAATATAAAACCCTAGACAATGCTAACTGATCTTCGTTACACCATTCATCCGACTGAGGGCAGCTACTGCTAACATTATTCACAAACATTAACCCTCAACTGAACAAGAATGAACAATTAAGAGCATAATATGACAAACCCATATAAGCACTTGTCCATCTTTCAGTTAAATCAGATCAGCAACTGAAAAAAAAAAAAATTATTAGATAAAATAAAAATTAGCCATTAGAAAAAAGTATTGCTCTATTGCCTATGGATGATGCATATTTTTTACTCTTATATTATATTCATGGGGGATACACTAAGCTTGTAAGAGTTATCCCCTCAAGGAAGGTTCCTTGATGTTGGTGAGGGGCTCTTGATTTAGGGAATCGGATCTGTGCTCCAGTTCCCCGAATTAAGCCTGAATGCCTTCCACATCCCCCCCCCCCCAGGCGCTATATAATCCTTTGGGTTTAGCGCTTCCCCCTTGATTATAATAATAATAATAAAATTGTAAGAGTTATAGAGGGCCAAGGATCCCTTGATCCAATGAAATTCTAATTATTATTATTATAATAAAAAAGAAGCGCTAAGCCACAAGGGCTATACAGCAATGAAATTCTGAAAATCCATAATAATACTGTTACATTCATGTGGTAACTGTAAACTTAAAACAAACATCTAATTGATTATTCATTGTCTCATAACTCTCAAACTGTACAAGTAGAAAATTGGTAATCCATAAAAAAATGTCTATGCCATGGAAATCACCTTTTCACTGGCTACTAAAACTTTTTGAATATTCCTCATTGTGTTCAGAGATCTTAGACTCAGAGGTGAATTTTCAATAAAGTAGGTAGTGCCACAGGCTAAAGCTCCCGCTTCACACACGGAGGGCCCGGGTTCGATTCCCAGCGGGTGGAAACATTTCGACACGTTTCCTTACACCTGTTGTCCTGTTCACCAAGCAGCAAATAGGTACCTGGGTGTTAGTTGACTGGTGTGGGTCGCATCCTGGGGGACAAGATTAAGGACCCCAATGGAAATAAGTTAGACAGTCCTCGATGACGCACTGACTTTCTTGGGTTATCCTGGGTGGCTAACCCTCCGGGGTTAAAAATCCGAACGAAATCTTATCTTAGAATGAAGACTATCGCAGCTCTGAGACCATAAAATATGCCATATTTGAATTATGTAAATAATGCAAGATACTGATACTGCCATATAGATAAGCTATATCTTCTTTCTCTTTTCACACACAAAGTGGGAGTTGTCACAGCTGCTCTTTGCTGATGACACTGTGCTCTTGGGAGATTCTGAAGAGAAGTTGCAGAGATTGGTGGATGAATTTGGTAGGGTGTGCAAAAGAAGAAAATTAAAGGTGAATACAGGAAAGAGTAAGGTTATGAGGATAACAAAAAGATTAGGTGATGAAAGATTGAATATCAGATTGGAGGGAGAGAGTATGGAGGAGGTGAACGTATTCAGATATTTGGGAGTGGACGTGTCAGCAGATGGGTCTATGAAAGATGAGGTGAATCATAGAATTGATGAGGGAAAAAGAGTGAGTGGTGCACTTAGGAGTCTGTGGAGACAAAGAACTTTGTCCTTGGAGGCAAAGAGGGGAATGTATGAGAGTATAGTTTTACCAACGCTCTTATATGGGTGTGAAGCATGGGTGATGAATGTTGCAGCGAGGAGAAGGCTGGAGGCAGTGGAGATGTCATGTCTGAGGGCAATGTGTGGTGTGAATATAATGCAGAGAATTCGTAGTTTGGAAGTTAGGAGGAGGTGCGGGATTACCAAAACTGTTGTCCACAGGGCTGAGGAAGGGTTGTTGAGGTGGCTCGGACATGTAGAGAGAATGGAGCGAAACAGAATGACTTCAAGAGTGTATCAGTCTGTAGTGGAAGGAAGGCGGGGTAGGGGTCGGCCTAGGAAAGGTTGGAGGGAGGGGTAAAGGAGGTTTTGTGTGCGAGGGGCTTGGACTTCCAGCAGGCATGCGTGAGCGTGTTTGATAGGAGTGAATGGAGACAAATGGTTTTTAATACTTGACGTGCTGTTGGAGTGTGAGCAAAGTAACATTTATGAAGGGATTCAGGGAAACCGGCAGGCCGGACTTGAGTCCTGGAGATGGGAAGTACAGTGCCTGCACTCTGAAGGAGGGGTGTTAATGTTGCAGTTTAAAAACTGTAGTGTAAAGCACCCTTCTGGCAAGACAGTGATGGAGTGAATGATGGTGAAAGTTTTTCTTTTTCGGGCCACCCTGCCTTGGTGGGAATCAGCCAGTGTGATAATAAAAAAAAAATAATAAAAAAAAAATATCTTCTTTCTTTCAACGTACCAGCCGTATCCCACTGAGGCGGGGTGGCCCAAAAGAAAAAACTGAAGTTTCTCCTTTTAAATTTAGTAATATATACAGGAGAAGGGGTTATTAGCCCCTTGCTCCCAGATAAGCTATATGTCTGTTACAAAAAAATTTTTTTTTTAATGCACTGGTTATCTCCCATTAAGGTAGGGCAACTCGACAAAGAAGAAAACACTTTCACTGTCACTCATTCAATTGCTTTCTTGCCAGATGGGCACCAACATCACAATTCAGTTAGCCCTCCAAACCACAACATCCCCACTCCTTCTCCAGAGTGCAAGCACTGCACTTCCCACTTGTAGGCCTCAAGTCCAGCTAACTGGTTTCCCTAAACCCCTTCATAAATGGTACCTTGCTGCAAGACTTTTAGATGTACAAGCCCCCTAGCATACAAAACCTCTTTTTACCCTCTCCTTCTAGCCTTTCTTAGAATGACCCCCATTCCTCCACCCAATTTATATGCCTTCCCAGTCATCCTACTTTTCTCCAAATGCCCAAACAACCTCTCCTCAACCCACTGTACAAGGTGTTATCAAAAAGTTCCTGAACTGCCATGAAAAAAAAAAAGCGGCTTACTTATCACCTAGTTGAAGTATTCTCCTTGGGAGGATCTACACTAATCCAAGTGCCTCTGCCAATTCTTGAAACATTTCTGGAACTCTTTCTTTCCTAATGGTGTCTAGCACAGCCTGTGCTTTTCCTTGAATCTCCTCTATGTCATTAAAACGCTGCTGCTTGAATGACATTTTTAATTTTGGGAAGCGGAAGAAGTCACTGGGGGCTAGATCTGGGGAGCAGGTAAGACAACTTCCATTTTTTGGCTAAAAAACAATGGTTTTTCTGGTCTTTAATCAGCAATTGAAGTACTAATTTCACTGTCACATGCACTGTCAATGAAAATGCTCTGATATAAGCCATAAGAAATTCCCACAGTGCTTGAAATGTCATGGATACTCTGACAGTGCCCTTTGTGAATAACCCTCCTCTCTTGTTCATCATCCTCATTTGACTTTCTTCCTGTTTTGAACTGAGAAAACCATGCTTCATCAAATGCTTGCTGAAACATTTTGTGTTTCATATCTGCATGCTATTGATACATCACATACCATTAAGAAAACCATTTTTGCCACTGCAAATATTTGCATTTTTTTTTTTCAACAAACCGGCCGTATCCCACCAAGGCAGGGTGGCCCAAAAAGAAAAACAAAAGTTTCTCTTTTCAAATTTAGTAATTTATACAGGAGAAGGGGTTACTAGCCCCTTGCTCCCAGCATTTTAGTCGCCTCTTACAACATGCATGGCTTACGGAGGAAGAATTCTGTTCCACTTCCCCATGAAGATAAGAGGAAATAAACAACAAGAACTAGAAAGAAAATAGCAGAAAACCCAGAGGGGTGTGTGTATATATATGTGTAGACAGCCTGGTTATATATGCTTGCATATGTATGTGTAGTGTGACCTAAGTGTAAGTAGAAGTGGCAAATGTACCTGAAATCTTGCATGTTTATGAGACAGAAAAAAGGACACCAGCAATCCTACCATCATGTAAAACAATTACAGGCTTTTGTTTTACACTCACGTGGCAGGACGGCAGTACCTCCCTAGGCGGTTGCTGTCTACCAACCTACTACCTAAAAAATATTTGCATTCATGTAGATAAATACTACCACATTATTTTTTGTGTGTGTTTTGACCAATCTTCATGAAATTTATTTTTTATCTACTTTTCACATACCTACACTAAAAAAAAAAAAAAAAAAAAAAAAAAAAAAAGCGAAGAAATTGGACCCAAAAAATGAGGGGAATACCAGACTCCTTAAAAACAACTATTATTATATAACAATGCATTTTTTGTATTAGAATAAAGAAATGTGGTGTCAGGAATATTTCATTATCATAAATTATTTTCTAGTTTTACTAGAATTGATGAGGGAAAAAAGGTGAGTGGTGCGTTGAGGTATATGTGGAGTCAAAAAACGTTATCTATGGAGGCAAAGAAGGGAATGTATGAAAGTATAGTAGTACCAACACTCTTATATGGGTGTGAAGCTTGGGTGGTAAATGCAGCAGCGAGGAGACGGTTGGAGGCAGCGGAGATGTCCTGTTTAAGGGCAATGTGTGGTGTAAATATTATGCAGAAAATTCGGAGTGTGGAAATTAGGAGAAGGTGTGGAGTTAATAAAAGTATTAGTCAGAGGGCAGAAGAGGGGTTGTTGAGGTGGTTTGGTCATTTAGAGAGAATGGATCACAGTAGAATGACATGGAAAGCATATAAATCTATAGGGGAAGGAAGGCGGGGTAGGGGTCGTCCTCGAAAGGGTTGGAGAGAGGGGGTAAAGGAGGTTTTGTGGGTAAGGGGCTTGGACTTCCAGCAAGCGTGCGTGAGCGTGTTAGATAGGAGTGAATGGAGACGAATGGTACTTGGGACCTGACGATCTGTTGGAGTGTGAGCAGGGTAATATTTAGTGAAGGGATTCAGGGAAACCGGTTATTTTCATATAGTCGGACTTGAGTCCTGGAAATGGGAAGTACAATGCCTGCACTTTAAAGGAGGGGTTTGGGATATTGGCAGTTTGGAGGGATATGTTGTGTATCTTTATATGTTTATGCTTCTAGACTGTTGTATTCTGAGCACCTCTGCAAAAACAGTGATAATGTGCGAGTGTGGTGAAAGTGTTGAATGATGATGAAAGTATTTTCTTTTTGGGGATTTTCTTTCTTTTTTGGGTCACCCTGCCTCGGTGGGAGACGGCCGACTTGTTGAAAAAAAAAAAAAAAAAAAAGTAAGGAAAAATATGTATTAGATATAGAAACCTTATGACCCCTTCTTAATAATAAAGTGATGCCAAAGCTTATTTGAGTACTTTTGCTTTTTCATGAAGAAATGGCAGTTGGGAGCTAACCGGATGATTCTTAAAATTAAAAGGTTAAAACAATAGTGCCAACAACTGTAAAAGATAATAGAAGAACTCTGTTGTTCTTTTAGGGTTTTAAATCATTTCTCTATTCCATAGCAATATTTTTGAGTGGGCCATAAGACCGGGTGATTTTTGAACAATTATAAAAATTGCATCTTATATAATTAAGTAATCAAATATGGGAAAACTAGGATATGCTGCAACCGTCACAAAGAATTATACTGATTGCATTTTCTTAAGTAATTTTATTCTAAATTATGTTACTCCAGTAGAAAAAGTTGTCAGTGGTATCTCACTGTATGAAATTAATGTAAACCTGCTTGAACATGAAATGGAATATAAACAAGGCTAAATGTAAAAACTTACCATTCATGGGCATTTCATCAATTTGTGTTGAATAGTACTGTTCAATGTCGCGTAAAATACGAATGTCATCATTCTTGACAAAGTTGATAGCAACACCTTTACGGCCAAATCTCCCAGACCGACCAATACGATGGATGTACAACTCACGGTTATTTGGCAGATCATAGTTAATCACTAAGGAAACCTGTGAAAACAAAATTTTATTGCATAATGCTTATTTAAAATTATAAATTTATGTAAACCCATTCAAACTATTTTACATGGAAGGCTACATGAACCATTAATAATATAACAACTCTCAGTAACCCCCTTATTACACCAATAATAAACTGTGACAAACTATTACTCTCAATTAGTCTTCCATTTTTCTTCTGCACAACTGTGAACACTGACAGCTGTGTGTGCTGATGAGAATATCAATATGGAAAGATGGTGGACACCATGGTTTGTGAAATCCTCCACATAAAGTAAGCTTTCATATTTCAAAACAGGGTTGGTTGACAAAGCAATGGCTTAAACCATGGTTTAAACCAACTTAAAAAACATTTTTAATTATGCCTTTTATTCTTGGTTTTAATAAAGGTTTCTGTTTTTTTTATTATTCCCAAAAAGATTTTCACAACCAATGAAACTAAAAGGTCTGTCACACTAAATTTTAAATTTAAATTTGAAGCCATAACCATGCATGTGAATATACAACCTACTTCATAATATGTTTAATTTATTCCCATGCATTTTAAATTCATATATTCCATTAATCTCTTCAAGTGTGGTCTGTCACCCTTCCTTTAAGTTGATATACCAGTTACTTAACTTCATAAACATTAACAGAATAAGAAATGTTTCCATGAAATACATATAAAATCTATTTAAGAAGGATCACTCAAACTTTACAAATGAATAAATCATAAGTCCTTCATACACAAATAACCCGCACATAGACGAGAGGAGCTTACGACGACGTTTCGGTCCAACTTGGACCATTTACAAAGTCGGACCGAAACGTCATCGTAAGCTCCTCTCTTCTATGTGCGGGTTATTTGTGTACCGTTCCAGTCACAGTATTGTGCCTTTTTTTGTTATTTATGTCCTTTATATAAATATAATTGGAAAAAATATATAATTCTTGCAGTTTACCGTGTTTAGCAACAAAAATATAAACATACTGGTAGCTGCTACTTGCAATATAATCAAATTATAAGTGAACCTTACCTTAAAACATTAACTTTGGAAAAAAAAAATCAAAATAATGTATTAAGCAGACTGCTTATATTAAATCATTACTCAAACTAACTTCGTTCTTTAATGAAGAACAAATTTTTCTAGTCATCAGACTTTTAAACTGAAATCTTTGTTCTAAATTTTATAGCCACCAATTTCCCCAGTCTTCTCTTTTCCAAATACAATGGAACCTCTACTTACAAGTTTAATCCATTCCATGACCTTGCTCGCATCTGGATTTGCTCGTTTGCAGAGTCAATTTTCCTCGTTTAAATTAATTGAAATGGAATTAATTCGTTCCAGTGGAATTCCAGGTACGAGAAAATACTTCAATAATTTCCCTAATATCAACTCTATGGCTTATTTATAACTTCGCCTGTTTGCAAATTGTTAAGCATTTCAAATCTCTTTCGCTGTCCACTGCATATGGCAGGATTCGATGAAATAACTTTCAAAATGAGCTTGGTGCCCAGGGGTATGGGGTAACATCGCTTAGCTTCGGCTAAGCGCCCATACTTATCTTGGGTCTAGCTCAGTGGTAAAGTACTGTTGACTCTGATACGGAGTTAGCAGGTTCGAGTCCTGCTGTGGATGTAGAGACAATGTTTGTAAATAATTTCGCCTGTTTGCGAATTGTTAGGCATATACCAGAATGAATAAAATACATGTCATTATGTATGTGGCTAGTGGTGGTGACAGCAGCCATTGTTGTTGTTGGGATTTATATGGCCACCACAGTGGCCATTCCTGCTCCTGACTACATGTATAGAGAACCTAGGATAACCCAAAAAAAGTCAGTGACTTATAAGTACTACACTCTTAATGCTACACTTTGCCACTGCTGCTTCATGTTGTCTGCCACTGCTACCTCATGTTGTCTGCCACTGCTACCTCATGATGTCTACCACTGCTACCTCATGATGTCTGCCACTGCTGCTTCATGTTGTCTGCCAATGCTGCTTCATATTGTCTGCCAATGCTGCTTCATGTTGTCTGCCAATGCTGCTTCATGTTGTCTGCCAATGCTGCTTCATGTTGTCTGCCAATGCTGCTTCATGTTGTCTGCCAATGCTGCTTCATGTTGTCTGCCAATGCTACCTCATGATGTCTGCTCCCACTTTTGCTAGCGTGTTGAAGAGCTTTCCAATATGTGAAGGTTGAGGGGCAGTGCCAATCGGACAGGTATTGGATGGTGACGTCATTTGTTTACACATGAACATCGCCAAAGAATTGAACATTTCTGCTACTTTGAGCTCAATTTCAAGATACTTTTCATCATGAAACCAATCAAAATCATATCTATTTCTGTAGTATATCTTCCATTCTATCAAATGAGACCAAAAAAACGAGAATATAACCATAAAAACCATAGGAAAATATGCCACTAAGGGGAGGCTAATGGCTGAGAGGTGAACTCCGTTTTTTATTGTCCGATTTCTTTCATTTTTGGTGTACGTACACTAAGAAGCATCTTTCCATCATACATTGCCCAAGCTTCAATAAGATAGTCCAACAAACAACTGAGATCCAGTTCCCTAGATCAAGAGCAAGAACCCCTCACCAGCATCAAGGAACCTCCCTCAAGGCCCGCTTGCATCTGGAAATTTCACTCGGGTCTGTAAGCAAAAAAATCAACCGAGCGACTACTCGTATTTGGAAAAACTCGCACGTGGATGCACTCGTAAGTAGAGGTTCCACTGTATATTTCAAAATTTTTAATGTACCAGTCCAAATAAGGAAATAATTTGTTCTACACTGGCACTTGCAGTGGCTGTGGTATGCAGTCCACAAACATCCTTTATGCTATTGTCATCAACCTTGCCTTTTAATGTGTGCATGATTAATAAAGCTTGAAATATGGCCCATTCAATTGTTTTTTTTTTAGAGAAGGAAAAAAAGTAGATTATTAAATTATTCTGAATATAATTTTTTTTTAACACTCAGCCACGTAGATGTGATTGGAAGATCTCGTAATATTAACAGGCCTTGGAAAGAGCCTTGTATCCTGTTAGGGATTAGCTAAAGCTATTCTCCCTGCTAGCCATGAATGGGTTTAACATATAATTTGCATATTACACCAGTCTTGATGCTGACTAACCTAGATTTCTGATAAACTAAGCATTATTTTTATGAGGAAGTGTGATTACTTGAATTTTCAAAGGTAAAAATAATCCACTTGTCAGACCAAGAGTGACTATGGAATATACTGAAACATGGTTTGCTTACCAGTATGTGGTTGCAAGTGTCAAGTCCTAGCTCCTGGTCCTACCCCTTAGCTTGCAATTTGCCAAATTAACTCTCTCCTAGCTTACATGGGCCCTATTATACCTGCTCTTAAAACTGTATGAAGCCTGCCTCCACTCTTCATCAATATCATTTCACTTCCCAACAACTCTGACACAGAAGAAATACTTCCTGACATTCCTGTGGCTCATCAGTGTCTTTAAATTCCAGCTTTGTCCCTGATTACCTGTTTCATGCTTCTCAAACAGCCTGTCCTTGTCTACCCTATCAATTTGAGTATTTTATTTGTTATCTCCCCTGGTTTTTCTGTCCTCCAGTGTAGAAGATTAAATTCCATTAGCCTCTGCTTGTAACTCATACCCCTTAGCATGAACAGCCTTACTGCATACTTCTGAACTTTCTTCAGTTTTTTAATGTGTTTATTCAGGTTTGTTCCATATTAGTGTTGCATACTCCAAGATGAGCCTGACATTATGTTGTGTAAAGAGCCCCAGAATGACTCTTGAGATTCCTGAAGGCTAAGATTTTCCAATATGTCTGCGAGATTCATACATCCAAATAAGGGACAAGCTTGCCATTTGTTTTGCAAGATACATAGATCTTTTGGATCTATGCATCTGAATTTCAGCAAAATGTTTTATAAAGTACAACACTTAGTTTCATTTTCAAAAGATTGGGTAATTTTTTTTATTATATATCAGTTCAATGGCTGACCACCCCATTTACTGCTTAAGCTTAAGAAGTTGTAGAATATTTTTCTCCTACACAGGCACTTTTTCTTTCATATATCTGCTTGAAAGGTTATTGTTATAATCAAGGGGAAAGTGCTAAACCCATAGGATTACACAGAGCCTGTGGGGAGGGGGGGGGGGAGATGTAGAAGATATTCAGGTTTAATTCAGGGAACTGGAGCACAGATCCAATTCCCTAGATCAAGAGCCCCTCACCAGCATCAAGGAACCTTCCTTGAGGGGCTGCTTGAGAGAATATATTTCGTATACATTGATACTCATACACATTAACTCTGAACCTTTTATCTCCTGCCTTCCTACCCTTATTCTCTATTCCAAGTTTCTCAGCTCTCTTCTACAGACATTTGACAAATAACAGATTTTTCTATCAAATCACAATTATAAACTCTTTATTTCTGGGTGTGAATCTCTATCTGTAAATATGTATTACTTGCATCAAATTACCTGCTGTACATCAATGCCACGTGCCCAGATGTCAGTTGTGATGAGGACTCTCGACTGGCCTGAACGGAATTCCTTCATAATAGCATCCCTCTCTTTCTGTGGCATATCACCATGCATTGATGACACTGTGAAGTTTGCTTCTCTCATTTTCTCTGTCAGCCAGTCCACCTAACAGGCAAACCAATATATTATGATTAATGAAAAGAACCAGGTGAAATTCAATCAAATTACTGTTATAAGAGAAAGAATATCTATCCTACCCTAGCTTATTTCAAGATCATTTTTTTTTATTAAATCTGAAATAATGAAGTGTACCCAACCTTCGTCTTCTTTCATTTCCTCTTCCCAACTTCCTGAAATGTTTGGACAACTTCAAGCCAAAATAAAAGATAAGGACCTATGACTGTTATTAGTAATTACTTCTCCTTTAACTTCTCCTTACCAACCTCAACAGAACACATGACCATAACACAAGGCACAGATCACTCTTTGATGTTCCCCGTGTCCATCTCACACTATGTAAAAACTCAATTCACATACAAGGCCCAAAAATCTCGAATTCATTACCTGTGAATATAAAAGAAATACACAAATAACCCACACATAGAAGAGAGGAGCTTACAACTTTGTAAGTGGCCCAAGTCGGACCGAAACGTCGTCGTAAGCTCCTCTCTTCTATGTGCGGGTTATTTGTGTATCGTTCCAGTCACGGTATTGTGCCTTTTTTTTTTTTGTTATACAAGAAATACTGTGTTTATCAATTCAAGACTTCTTAAAAACTGCTTACTCAACCACAACTAAATAAATACTGAATAACTGAATCTCATAAATGTATAACCTGTGACCCTATCAAACTTTTTTTTTTATTACATTACCTAATAGAATACTCCATTCTCTTGAATGCACAGTAACTCATCTAATGACCATATGACCTGTTTCTGCACTACAAATCATTGATTTTACTAGATGTGATTCGAATATATTATACATTGTTATGCTACAAATTTGTACAACTTTAATACTTCTTATTTGAAATACTCATTTGTACTTCATGTTGTAATTTGTTTACTGTAATTTTTACCAATGAATATATCATTGCTTTGTTAATCTTAAGTTAATTTTAAGCCTGCCCATAATGCTCTGCATACAAGGGGCTTTTGACATGTATACCCAATCACTATATTTCTTTGTACAACTATGTATCATGTCCAAATAAAAAATAAATAAATAAACAAGTTACTGTATAACACCAAAATCAGATAAAGCTTTATGTATGATTTTTTTTTTTTTTAACATGTTAGCTGTTTCCCACCAAGGCAGGGTGATCCAAAAAGGAAGAAAAAAAACTTTCATAATTCAAATCTTTCACCATCACTCATACATAATCACTGTCTATGCAGAGGCGCTCATATGATGGTTTAGATGTTTCTCCAAACTGCCTATATTCCAAACCATCCTCTAACCCTCTGAGGGTCCAGACCCCAATCTGAAAATTCTCCACAGGGTCCAAGAATTAAAAAAAAAAAAAAAAAAAAACTTTTTCTGAAGTACTAAAACAAAGTATGAAATTTAATAAAAAAAATTGGCGAAATTATGCTCTTGCGAATTTTGCAGTGTCAGCGATATTCATGCATAGGCAATTTTGCCCACTTTGAGTCCTATATTTGGCCAATTACATTGTTCCACTAGACCAAATTCTTAGCTATTTCACTATTATGTGTTCCATTTTATCTATTGAGCACAAGAAATTGTCCAATCAACTATTTCAACTAAATAATAAGTGACTAAATAAATGAAGTGACTGGAAATTGGTAATTTGGCCAATTTCACACAAAGTTCAAAATATTCCAGCTTCAAAATAGGGTCCAGAATAAACAATGCAGGAATTCCTGGTACTAAAATAACATTTCCTTTGTTTATTAGTTACACTTTCAGGCTTTACAGATAAATTCCATTATTATTTTTTATTCACATAAAGAAATTTTATTCACACCAAAAAATAGAAGATTTACTGTTATGCAATACTGTAATAATTGTATATATAATATCAGCACATTCATGAACACACATTAGACCCACCAGCTAATGTGTATTGGACGCATGATGCGATTTGTTTACTCTTGAACATAGGCAAAAATCAAACATATCCACTATTTTGTGCTCAATTTCAAGCTATTTATAGTATAAAAATCAATCAAAATCATTTCTATTTCTGTAATATATCTTCCATTCTATCAAATGTGACCAAGAAACCACGAATACAACTGTAAAAAACATACGAAAATGCAAACTCGCCGTTTTAATCCAAAAACAGTCGCAGTTTTTTCTCATTATGCACTGTGTGCTGCAGGATTTTTTTTTATATGGTACACACTTACCACATAGACCCATTCTCTCATATCTAGGCCCAAATTTACCGCTCACAGCTCATCTGAGCGAGCTGAGCTCATGACGTATTACTACGGCATCTACCCTAGTTTCAAAGTCGTAGAACTACGGCACAGACCCTCAAGGGATTAAAGGCACCCTTTCTTGGGATACTTAATAATATACTAAAAAAAAAATCCTTTCATGACCATAAATTAGACTAACTAATAATTCCTATGACATAAAATGAATATGAACGACATATTAAAAAATAGAACTAGCATATTATTAGTAAATGCAACCACAGTCAATGCACTAACATAGTAGCAGCAACTTTGTCTTTGCCATAGAGATGTTTCACTAACTATTCATTAAGTATCATGCAAGCAGCTACATGTAGTATATTCATAACTAAGGTACATATTACTCACCTTACGCTTTGTGTTACAGAAGATAACAGCCTGTGTGATGGTGAGTGTGTCATACAAGTCACACAGTGTGTCAAACTTCCATTCCTCACGTTCGACTGCAACAAAGAACTGCTTAATACCTTCTAGTGTCAATTCATCACTGAAAGAGAAATGTAATATCAACTAACATTATGCTTAGAGAAGAGGGTCTTTCTTGCACACATGCAGCTTCATCATTAATGCTGCAAGTCTACCAATAAGCCCAGTATTTAGGACCCGTTTATTCTACTACATCCAAATACTTTGTTGAAAAACCATTTAGTTAACAATGAAAAATCATATCTATAATTAATCCCAATGCTAGAGCCCTGAACAACATTAATACTGTACAACAAATGTATTTAACATACCTGGGTACACAGCCACTCACAACTGTAGTTAAGACAAAAATTGAGGTGGCACTGTAATTTACCATAAAAAACTTAATGAAACGTACAAATATCTTAAAAAGTACGCATGCACATAGTGATAAACAACCTGCAACTTAATAATAGGAGAATGAGGCAGGAAACTGAGGATAACACATTAGTGACAGTTGACATCACAGCAGAAGTAGAGATTTCAACCACATGAAGAGATTAGGAGAAATGGGGCCCCTATAGGGAACTGCAAACATGGAAGGCTAAGTTGATGGAGGTGATTAAAGAGAGATGATGTGCCAGCAAGAATGGACCTAGTGTTTACCACAGATACATCTGGCTAAGTCAATTTTTCTTATTGTCAAGTACCATTCTACACTTCCAGTTTACTGTCAAGTATAATATATGCTTATGTCCATTATGTACATCCTTAACCCCTTTCAGTGTCTCGTACTCAGATCTGTTATTGATGTCAGGGTCACTTATGTAGTTTTTTTTCCTTGATCTTTTTTATTAACACATCAGCTGTTTCTCACCCAGACAGGGTGATAAAAAAAAGAAAAACTTTTATCATCATTCATTCCATCACTGTCTTGCCAGAGGCATGCCTATACTGTAGTTAAAACACTGCAACATGTCAACACCCCCTCCTTCAGCATGCAGGTGCTGTACTTCCCACCTCCAGGACTCGAGCCCAGCTAATCGGTTTCCCTGAATCTCTTCATAAATGTTACTTTGCTCACATTCCAACTTACATAGATCTAGGCATAAATTCTAGCGGCTCAAATTTGGCATGAAATGCCTGGTAAGCCTACATCTGAGAAAACGGGTCTGCATGGTCAGTGCACTGTATACAAAAAACTGGGGCCACCACAGTGCGTTATGGGAATACCACATTTAGTACACCTTGTACATTATGATGCATGGACACAAAGGTGAACTGAACAGATTTTATTCCCCAGTTAGAGCAATGAGGATTATGGAACAGATGATGAGTTCTTTGCTTTCAAACATATAGTAATTGAAAGTGACACTCAGGATGCCAAAAATATCACTGAAAACCCCAATGCCTAACAACAATCCACGTCTAGGGTGGGTTCGTCTGGAACACGTCCAGCTCCACCACGCCTGAGCTCAGACGTGAGTAATGATCACAGTGATGTGGGCTTTATTTCCTAGCAATCAATGACCACTCTAGTAGTGACAATGAAGATTTTTCACATGTGAAGCATTAATTTATACACCATAGCACATGGTCTGGTAGTGTACCCATTGCTATCCCCAGGGAACAAAGTACATCCCAGGACCCAACACCAGCAACACAGACAGTGATGGTGCATCAACAGGGATGGGTAATAAGCATAGGAATGTTGCCACCGCATGTGGTAGCAGGTGGTGACACAACATGATGTATGGCACCAGCGTCAGCTCAGGCTGGAAGGCATGACCTACGGCTGCCTCCACTACCACCATAGGATTGCATCTGGGACTGGCAGGAAGATGCAAATTTTGTGCACAACCCCAATCAATTTGATGACAGAGTGGAATCTAGCCAAACTGTACCCTGGGGAATGACACTAGCTAACTTGAATGCTTTGAAATGCATTTTGATGAGCCACCAATGAAAAGTGATGAAAATCAACAGAGATGTCCAGTTAAAATGGCAAGCATGCTAAATTCACCACAATCATGGCTACACCAGTGGGACAGAACTGTCGCTGAGATGTATTTGCATTTTCTGCCTGCTAGCCTTCTGCCTTCTTGCCTGTCCTACCCTGCTTGCTGCAATTTTTTGTGGGATGATGGATTCAAAATGGAGAACAAGTGGATAGAGGAAAGGTGCTTTAGTGATTGGAATGCCTTGTTGTTTTTTTTGGGTTAATTAAAAGAAGTAAATAGGAAAAAAAAGACAGAAATCACTAAATATAAGTGAAGCAAGAACAGCATCAAGGACTGACAATGTTTATTTCACAATTCAAGAGATATAAAACACAATACACTTAACACTTGCATCTCACTCATCACAGGAGACAAAGAATCAATCCTACATCAGCTAATCTGAAGACTGACTTGCTGCCATTCAATATACACTTCTCTCTCATCACTGTGAGGAATTAAATGTCTCTGCATTCTGAAAACTTACCGTTTTACCAGAATGCGGATGGGGTCTGTCATGAACTTTGATGTCATTTCCAAAATTTCATGTGGTAATGTTGCAGATATGAGGACCACTTGAGTAGCAGGAGGAAGGTAGCGGTATACATCATATATTTGCTCCTTAAACCCTTTATTAAGCATCTCATCTGCTTCATCTAAAACCAACATCTGAAGAAGGTATAAACCATTAAATACAGGCACTTTAGAAGGCTGGCAGGAGGTACTACCATCCTGCCAGATGTCTAAAAATATAAGCTAGGAATAGAACCGAGCAGATTTTAGGAGTTCTTTGCTCTAAATGCTTTTCATAATAAAGGCCTTTATTTTAAAAAATTGCATTTGTACCACAATTACACTGAAACTAAATAAATTGTAAACCTATTAACTTCTATGTACAGTGGAACCTCAGTTTTTGTACGCCCTAGTCTGTATGTAAAACTATAGTTATTCTCTATACAATGTATTTTTTGTAAATATTTTTGGGTGTCTGGAATGGATTAATTGGATTTACATTATTTCTTACAGAAAATATTAACAAAAAATACATTTTAGAGAGAATAACTGTAGTTTTACATACAGATAAGGGCATATGAAAAACAAGGTTCCACTGCATGTTTATGATTAATAAAGTTAATTTTATTTTAATTTATTAGCATTTTTTAAATAAGTGACTGACGCCTGCATTTTTTACACTGGTATAGATTTGGTGTCTATGTCTAAGAATAATTCTTCTTTCAAAAAACACCGGTTTATAACCGTGGGTGTTTTCCCAAAAGGAAAAACGAAAGTTCCACTCCTTTTACATTAGTAAATTAATTTAGTAAGAGTTGATTTTTAACCTGCTGCCCTCATTTTTTAGCATCGCCTCTTACAACACGATGGCTTAGGATGAAGATATTCTGTTCCTTTCCCCATGGAGGTAAGGGAAATACCAAGAACTAGAAGACACAGAAGAAAACCACGAAGGATGGGTGTGTGGGGTTGGTATGATCAGTGTGGGTGTTTGTGTGTGTGTGTGTTGAGTGCTGTTCGTGTGTGTTGGATGTGAGATGTTGGGTTCTGTCCCTGGTGTGTGTGATAAGCAGACTAGAAAGATCGTGTAACGTGTGTGTGTGTGTGTGTGTGTTGTGTGTGTGTGTGTGTGTGTGTGTGTGTGTGTGTGTGTGTGTGTTATTTTGTGTGTGTGTATATATATATATATATATAATATATATATATATATATATATTATATATATATATATATTTGAGGAGTGATTGGTGGAATGATGAAGTAAAGGGTGTGATAAAAGAGAAAAAGGTAGCTTACGAGAGGTTTTTACAAAGCAGAAGTGTTATAAGAAGAGCAGAGTATATGGAGAGTAAAAGAAAGGTGAAGAGAGTGGTGAGAGAGTGCAAAAGGAGAGCAGATGAAAGAGTGGGAGAGGCACTGTCAAGAAATTTTAATGAAAATAAGAAAAAATTTTGGAGTGAGTTAAACAAGTTAAGAAAGCCTAGGGAAAGTATGGATTTATCAGTTAAAAGCAGAGTAGGGGAGTTAGTAGATGGGGAGAGGGAGGTATTAGGTAGATGGCGAGAATATTTTGAGGAACTTTTAAATGTTGAGGAAGAAAGGGAGGCGGTAATTTCATGCACTGGCCAGGGAGGTATACCATCATTTAGGAGTGAAGAAGAGCAGAATGTAAGTGTGGTGGAGGTACGTGAGGCATTACGTAGAATGAAACGGGGTAAAGCAGCTGGAACTGATGGGATCATGACAGAAATGTTAAAAGCAGGGGGGGATATAGTGTTGGAGTGGTTGGTACTTTTGTTTAATAAATGTATGAAAGAGGGGAAGGTACCTAGGGATTGGCGGAGAGCATGTATAGTCCCTTTATATAAAGGGAAAGGGGACAAAAGAGATTGTAAAAATTATAGAGGAATAAGTTTACTGAGTATACCAGGAAAAGTATACGGTAGAGTTATAATTGAAAGAATTAGAGGTAAGACAGAATGTAGAATTGCGGATGAGCAAGGAGGCTTCAGAGTGGGTAGGGGATGTGTAGATCAAGTGTTTACATTGAAGCATATATGTAAACAGTATTTAGATAAAGGTAGGAAAGTTTTTATTGCATTTATGGATTTAGAAAAGGCATATGATAGAGTGGATAGAGGAGCAATGTGGCAGATGTTGCAAGTTTATGGAATAGGTGGTAAGTTACTAAATGCTGTAAAGAGCTTTTATGAGGATAGTGAGGCTCAGGTTAGGGTGTGTAGAAGAGAGGGAGAATACTTCCCGGTAAAAGTAGGTCTTAGACAGGGATGTGTAATGTCACCATGGTTGTTTAATATATTTATAGATGGGGTTGTAAAAGAAGTAAATGCTAGGGTGTTCAGGAGAGGGGTGGGATTAAATTATGGGGAACAAATTCAAAATGGGAATTGACACAGTTACTTTTTGCTGATGATACTGTGCTTATGGGAGATTCTAAAGAAAAATTGCAAAGGTTAGTGGATGAGTTTGAGAATGTGTGTAAAGGTAGAAAGTTGAAAGTGAACATAGAAAAGAGTAAGGTGATGAGGGTATCAAATGATTTAGATAAAGAAAAATTGGATATCAAATTGGGGAGGAGGAGTATGGAAGAAGTGAATGTTTTCAGATACTTGGGAGTTGACGTGTCGGCGGATGGATTTATGAAGGATGAGGTTAATCATAGAATTGATGAGGGAAAAAAGGTGAGTGGTGCGTTGAGGTATATGTGGAGTCAAAAAACGTTATCTATGGAGGCAAAGAAGGGAATGTATGAAAGTATAGTAGTACCAACACTCTTATATGGATGTGAAGCTTGGGTGGTAAATGCAGCAGCGAGGAGACGGTTGGAGGCAGTGGAGATGTCCTGTCTAAGGGCAATGTGTGGTGTAAATATTATGCAGAAAATTCGGAGTGTGGAAATTAGGAGAAGGTGTGGAGTTAATAAAAGCATTAGTCAGAGGGCAGAAGAGGGGTTGTTAAGGTGGTTTGGTCATTTAGAGAGAATGGATCAAAGTAGAATGACATGGAAAGCATATAAATCTATAGGGGAAGGAAAGAGGGGTAGGGGTCGTCCTCGAAAGGGTTGGAAAGAGGGGGTAAAGGAGGTTTTGTGGGCGAGGGGCTTGGACTTCCAGCAAGCGTGCATGAGCGTGTTAGATAGGAGTGAATGGAGACGAATGATACTTGGGACCTGACGATCTGTTGGAGTGTGAGCAGGGTAATATTTAGTGAAGGGATTCAGGGAAACGGTTATTTTCTTATAGTTGGACTTGAGTCCTGGAAATGGGAAGTACAATGCCTGCACTTTAAAGGAGGGGTTTGGGATATTGGCAGTTTGGAGGGATATGTTGTGTATCTTTATACGTATATGCTTCTAAACTGTTGTATTCTGAGCACCTCTGCAAAAGCAGTGATAATGTGTGAGTGTGGTGAAAGTGTTGAATGATGATGAAAGTATTTTCTTTTTGGGGATTTTCTTTCTTTTTTGGGTCACCCTGCCTCGGTGGGAGACGACCAACTTGTTGAAAAAAAAAAAAAAAAAAAAAATGTATGTGGAGATGTCATGTCTGAGGGCAATGTGTGGTGTGAATATAATGCAGAGAATTCGTAGTTTGGAAGTTAGGAGGAGGTGCTGGATTGCCAAAACTGTTGTCCAGAGGGCTGAGGAAGGGTTGTTGAGGTGGTTCGGACATGTAGAGAGAATGAAGCGAAACAGAATGACTTCAAGAGTGTATCAGTCTGTAGCGGAAGGAAGGCGGGGTAGGGGTCAGCCTAGGAAAGGTTGGAGGGAGGGGGTAAAGGTTTTGTGTGCGAGGAGCTTGGGCTTCCAGCGGGCATGCGTGAGCGTGTTTGATAGGAGTGAATGGAGACAAATGGTTTTTAATACTTGACGTGCTGTTGGAGTGTGAGCAAAGTAACATTTATGAAGGGATTCAGGGAAACCGGCAGGCTGGATTCGAGTCCTGGAGATGGGAAGTACAGTGCCTGCACTCTGAAGGAGTGTGACTTTGTCAATGGTCCAAGTCGAACCGAAACATCGTCGTAAGCTTCTCTCTTTTATGTGCGGGTTATTTGTGTATCGTTCCAGTCACGGTATTGTGCCTTTTTGTTATTTGAGGGGTGTTAATGTTGCAGTTTAAAAAACTGTAGTGTAAAGCACCCTTCTGGCAAGACAGTGATGGAGTGAATGACGGTGAAAGTTTTTCTTTTTCGGGCCACCCTGCCTTGGTGGGAATTGGCCAGAGTGCTAATAAAAAAAAAAAAAAATGTATGTGTAGTGTGACCTAAGTGTAAGTAGAAGTAGCAAGACGTACCTGAAACATTGCATGTTTACAAGACAGAAAAAAAAAAAAACACCAGCAATCCTACCATCATGTAAAAAATTACAGGCTTCCGTTTTACACTCACTTGGCAGGACGGTAGTACCTCCCTGGGCTGTTGCTGTCTACCAACCTACTACCTATAATGTCTAATACACAATAATAATAATAATAATAATAATAATAATAAGCGTGCATGAGCGTGTTAGATAGGAGTGAATGGAGACGAATGATACTTGGGACCTGACGATCTGTTGGAGTGTGAGCAGGGTAATATTTAGTAAAGGGATTCAGGGAAACCGGTTATTTTCATATAGTCGGACTTGAGTCCTGGAAATGGGAAGTACAATGCCTGCACTTTAAAGGAGGGGTTTGGGATATTGGCAGTTTGGAGGGATATGTTGTGTATTCTTTATACATATATGCTTCTAAGCTGTTGTATTCTGAGCACCTCTGCAAAAGCAGTGATAATGTGTGAGTGTGGTGAAAGTGTTGAATGATGATGAAAGTATTTTCTTTTTGGGGATTTTCTTTCTTTTTTTGGGTCACCCTGCCTCGGTGGGAGACGACCGACTTGTTGAAGAAAAAAAAAAAAATAATAACAATAACAACAACCTTTATAGACCGTGTTCTGAGTGTACGCCGTCTGATCATGTCAAACACTCTGCCTGGAGTACCAGAAACAACGTGCTGCCCATAGTCCAACTTGCGAATATCTTCTCCAAGGTTTGTTCCTCCGATGCATGCATGACACTGTACACTCATGTAATCTCCAAGAGCAAGCACAACCTGAAAACATAACCCAATAAATTATTTCCAAAATAAAAAAGTAAAGCAAAAAATGCAAGCATTGTAACGGAAAAAATATCCAAGAGCTGCATTAAGAATCAAGAAATAAAAAATATACCTAAATAGAAAATTCTCTAGTAATTGTCACTGACATACAGTGGGAAGATGAAAATAATGTGCTCTGAATCACCCCTATTGTTTTGAGACAGGTGGCCAAGGTTCAAGGTAAACACTGGCAAAAGATGATGTGGAAATAGACACTGCCAGCAGGATTCCCTGCTTCCAGGGTATTTTCACTGAAGCCCAACATAAACTGAATGGCTCATACTAACAGTTGTATTCTAGAAATACGGGAAAGGATCACCTGCCAAATAACAGAAAGGATAAGCCACTAATTCTTAAACTGTGGCATACCCAAGAATATAAATCTGACTGTACTAGGTTATCCATATCCCACACATAACTAAGGCCTCCAAAACAGTAGGCATCCTCTCCAAGATACATTACTGTGTACCTCAAACCACTACTTATCTTGTACTACTCTCTACTCTATCTTTACCCCACCTGTGATATTAGTAACTGGGAATCTATGTCAAATGACCTAAAACCAATAACAACTCAATTAACAGCTGCTGTGCAAATGATTACCCAATCAAGTGCCAGAAAACACACTCTCCCACTCTTCAAAAGCTTAAACTTACTTACTATACACAATATATCCTCACACTGTATCTTCCTGGCAGCAGTAGTGTCAACAGAGCTTCTCAATTTTCAGTCCCCTGGGTCAGCACAAGCCCCCTGTGATGGTATAACACGAAGTTCTCCAGCAATAACACAGATGGAAACACAAAATGACAATTTTTGATAATCTACCAATTTGACAAAATAGCCAATCAAAAAGAGGACTGCCCTGCATACCCAACATCAGCCCTGCTGCCAGAAGAACAAACTGCCCAAGTTCCAAGCACAAGATCTCCTTAATTACACTGCCCTATTAAACTAAACCAGTGCTCCTATGGGTAGAGGGAAATGCAGGAGAACCAGCACCAAAAACTACCTCAAAGCTCCAAGGAACTTAGGTGAGGAAAGTTTCATCCTAGCATCTCTCTCACTCCAACTGATGACATAAACATGGCTGATGTACAAGACTCTTCATCTTCTTTCCACAGTTTAGACAAACTCTCAACCAAATACCCAAGAATTGATGAAGTCCTCAGTGCTCAAAATAAGCTCATCGATTATTTAGTATCTCGTAACCTACAGAACATTAATCAAGAAAACAGTAATCTTCTATCATTACAGGAAATTCACATAATAAAGGCTGATGACTTTGAACTCTTCCAATTATCTCAAGCCAAAAGGATTCATTAACTCAAACAAAATGAATGACAACCACAAGGAAGTGCAGAAAACTGTTGTTAAACATGCTGAATAAATAACGTCCCTCAACACCAAGATAGACGAAGTTGTACATGACTGGAAAACTCAAATGGACACAGTTTGGTGAATACCTTCAAAATCAAACAGAAGCATAAGTATTGTGGCTTTTATTTTATACAAACATAGGATTAATTATTAAAAATTAACTACTGTAGAAGAGTATAACTCACTTTCTGAATCTGAACAGCCAACTCCCTTGTGGGTGACAGAGTAAGGACTTGGGTCTCACGAACATTAATATCCAAACTCTGAAGGATGGATATGGAGAATGTTGCTGTTTTTCCTGTACCAGACTGAGCCTGAGCTATTACGTCACGGCCTTTTATAATGGGACGAATAGCACGCTGTTGGATGGCAGATGGCTTCTCAAATCCTGTGCAAGATTAAACATTATTATTATTTCTCACTAATTTTATGGTGAATTAAATAATGTTAAGAGGGACATCTGTAGCTCTGTTTCCAAACTGAATGAAGTAGGTTTTGTCAAGGTTGAGAGTAAGTTTGTTAGTCATCATCCAGGGCTTGGGTGAGAGAAGACGTATGTAGTGTCATCTGCAAATAGTGGGGGTTTGAGTAGTTGCAATGCATTTGGTAGGTCGTTTATGTAAATGAGAAAGAGAAGAGGACCAAGGACACTTCCCTGTGGGACACCAACTGTAATTGGCTGTGTGGAAGAGTTTGCTCCATTTGTGTACACATATTGGCTTCTGTTGCTGAGGTATGACTTTAGGTAGTTGAGGGAGTACCCTCTTATACCACAGTGTGACAATTTTATGTGGAGCAAATCATGGTCAACTGTATCAAAAGCTTTACGTAAATTAATGAATGATCCCCAGTAGGACTTCTTTTTTCTCGAATGCAGTGTATATTTGTGTAAGCATGTGTTTAATAGCATCAATCATATTTTTATTAGGCCTGAACAAAAACTGACAGGGGTTGAGTATGTTGTGGGAGATGAGGTAGGAATAGATTCGCTTATGAATTAATTTTTCAAAGATTTTAGAGAGAGGGTGTAAATTGGATATTGGTCTATAGTTATTCAAGTCTGTTTGGTCTCCTCCTTTATGTATCGGGGTGACCCTCGCTATTTTGAGAACTGTAGGGAAGGTAGAGGATTTGATGGATTTGTTAAAGAGTGTTGTAATGATTTACCTGGAGTTTACCTGGAGAGAGTTCCGGGGGTCAACGCCCCCGCGGCCCGGTCTGTGACCAGGCCTCCTGGTGGATCAGAGCCTGATCAACCAGGCTGTTGCTGCTGGCTGCACGCAAACCAACGTACGAGCCACAGCCCGGCTGATCAGGAACTGACTTTAGGTGCTTGTCCAGTGCCAGCTTGAAGACTGCCAGGGGTCTGTTGGTAATCCCCCTTATGTGTGCTGGGAGGCAGTTGAACAGTCTCGGGGCCCCTGACACTTATTGTATGGTCTCTTAACGTGCTAGTGACACCCCTGCTTTTCATTGGGGGGATGGTGCATCGTCTGCCAAGTCTTTTGCTTTCATAGTGAGTGATTTTCGTGTGCAAGTTCGGTACTAGTCCCTCTAGGATTTTCCAGGTGTATACATGTATAATCATGTATCTCTCCTTCCTGCGTTCCAGGGAATACAGGTTTAGGAACCTCAAGCGCTCCCAATAATTGAGGTGTTTTATCTCCGTTATGCACGCCGTGAAAGTTCTCTGTACATTTTCTAGGTCAGCAATTACACCTGCCTTGAAAGGTGCTGTTAGTGTGCAGCAATATTCCAGCCTAGATAGAACAAGTGACCTGAAGAGTGTCATCATGGGCTTGGCCTCCCTAGTTTTGAAGGTTCTCATTATCCATCCTGTCATTTTTCTAGCTGATGCGTTGATAAAATGTTATGGTCCTTGAAGGTGAGATCCTCCGACATGATCACTCCCAGGTCTTTGTCGTTGGTGTTTCGCTCTATTTTGTGGCCAGAATTTGTTTTGTACTCTGATGAAGATTTAATTTCCTCATGTTTACCATACTGAGTAACTGAAATTTCTCATGTTGAACTTCATATTGTTTTCTGCAGCCCACTGAAAGATTTGGTTTGATGTCCGCCTAGGAGCTTTGCAGTGTCGGGCAATGGAAGACACTGTCATGCAGATTCGGGTGTCATCTGCAAAGGAAGACACGGTGCTGTGGCTGACATCCTTGTCTATGTCGGATATGAGGATGAGGAACAAATGGGAGCGAGTACTGTGCCTTGTGGAACAGAGCTTTTCACCGTAGCTGCCTCGGACTTTACTCTGTTGACGACTACTCTCTGTGTTCTGTTAGTGAGGAAATTATAGATCCATCGACCGACTTTTCCTGTTATTCCTTTAGCACGCATTTTGTGCACTATTACGCCATGGTGATTGGTGACAGCACTTGCGAAGCTTTTTTGTAAATAAAAAGTGGTGAGGTATTTAAATCTCCTGTCTTGTTTTTTAGTGTGTTGATAATAAGGGAGACTTCTGTTAGGTTAGTTGGAGCTAGGAACAGTGTGTTTGGGTAGCTGCCAGTGAGGTAGTCACTGGGTGGGGTATTTGAGCTTGGGATTTTATCGGCAAGGTTTTTTCCAATGGTGGATAAGAAAACATTGAGTCTGTTTGCTGTTTCAGTTGGTGGGAGTTAGGGTTCACCTGGTTTTGTTAGTTCAACTGTGCTATTTCCTGATATCTTTTTTGTTCCTAGAATTTCTGATAGAGTTTTCCAGGTCTTTTTTATATCACCTTTTAAGTTGGATAATCTGTTCTCATAATACTACAGTTTTTTAGCCCTTCTTATCAGGCTGGTTAGGATTGACGAGTAACGTTTTGTTTGGTCTCTGGTTATGTGACCCATTATGTACTACTACAGCAGATTCACTGACACAAGAGGAGATATAAAAAAGACCTGGAAAACACTTTCCCAGATTCTGGGGATCCACAAACTGAAAAAAACCAAGAATATTGTTCTAACTAAACCTCATGAAACACCACTGCATCCCACTGATACAGCTAACAAGATAAACAACTTCTTCTCAAACATAGGATCTAATCTGGCCAGTAAAATCCCACGTACCAATGCCCGTGCCGGGGACTACCTAGATGGGAATTTCCCAAATTCCTTCTATCTTGTACCAACTTTAGCCACGGAAGTCACCGCGATCATAAAGTCACTTATAAATAACTCGGGGAATCTGTCTCACGTCCCCCATTATTGTACAAGCGAGCGGCCCATGTCCTTTCGCATACTATTACATTACTTTTTAAAAAGTAACTAGAAACTAGCACTTTCCCGACACTACTCAAGACAGCAAGGGTTACACCAATACATAAAGGTGGTGACCCTACAGACGTAAACAACTATAGGCCCAATATAAACTTACCATTGCTATCCAAAATCTTCGAGAAACTCGTGCACAGGAGATATATTCATTTATAACGTCACAAAACATACTCAACCCCCCCGCCCAAATTTTGGGTTCAGGAAAAATAAAAGCACTAATGATGCAATTATAAAAATGCTAGACCTGCTTTACACCCGCACTGGAAAATAAGGGAAAATCCGCTGGAATTTTTATTGACCTAAGAAAAGCGTTTGACACAGTAGACCACGGCATCCTACTCCACAAACTTGACCACTATGGTATAAGAGGCCATGTGCTTGCATATTTTAAATCCTACCTTTCTAATAGGTATCAGTATGTCACCATTAAAGACACAGCCTCATCAATACGGCCACTTGATACTGGAGTTCCGCAGGGAAGTGTCCTTGGACCAATGCTCTTCCTCATTTACATCAATGATCTTCCAAACATATCCTAACACCTGAAACCCATTCTCTTTGCTGACGACACGGCTTATGTCATCTCCCACCCTAATCTTGCCACCCTCAACACCATTGTTAATGAGGTGCTGCTCAAAATGTCGACTTGGACGACAGCCAATGAACTTACACTTAACACTGGTAAAACCTACTATGTTTGGTAGCAGAGCAGGTGTTGCACAACTTAACATTAAGACTGACAACACTCTAAGTGCCACACATAATGAGGGCAAATTCCGTGGCCCGGTGGCCTGGTGGCTAAAGCTCCCGCTTCACACACAGAGGGCCCGGGTTCGATTCCCGGCGGGTGGAAACATTTCGACACGTTTCCTTACATCTGTTGTCCTGTTCACCTAGCAGCAAATAGGTACCTGGGTGTTAGTCGACTGGTGTGGGTCGCATCCTGGGGGACAAGATTAAGGACCCCAATGGAAATAAGTTAGACAGTCCTCGATGACGCACTGACTTTCTTGGGTTATCCTGGGTGGCTAACCCTCCGGGGTTAAAAATCCGAACAAAATCTTATCTTATCTTACCTCAACAACAACCTAAATTTCAGCACCCATATCCAACACATAACAAAAAAAGTATCCAAAACAGTGGGAATTCTCTCCAAGATATGATACTACGTGCCACAAACTGCCCTTCTTACACTATACCATTCACTTACATATCCATACCTCACCTATGCTATCTGTGCTTGGGGATCAACTGCAGCAACACACCTAAAGCCAATAATAACCCAACAAAAAGCTGCAGTAAGAATAATCACTAAATCCCATCCCTGGCAACACACCCTCCCACTCTTCATAGATCTAAACTTACTCCCTGTTCAGTACATCCACACTTACTACTGTGCAATCTATATCTACAGGACCTTAAATTCCAATATTAACCTTGACCTAAAACACTTTCTTGATAGTTGTGACAGGATCCACAGGCATAACACCAGACACAAACATCTCTATGACATTCCCCGTGTTCGACTAAACCTTTACAAAAATTCAATGTATTTCAAAGGACCTAAAATCTGTAATGCCCTACCTGAAAACTCTAGAACTGCAGACACATTCATCACTTTCAAAACTAGTTAGAAAACATCTTATCTCCCTGATCCACCCCAACAACTAACTACATGATAACCACCTGGTGGTTCACAATTACACTCATTCACCCACTGACTATAAATCCAGAAATACTAATCTTAATCTTAAAATAATAAATCCTAACTAGTCATAAGTTTGCCTATGATACTCCAATATAGACACTTTGTATTGTGCCAAAACAAAAGCATTCACATTGCTAAACTCACAAATTATGATGTAGTCACTTAGCCTTAATACCATAATCTGTAAGGATTTAATGTTTACAATTAATCTAAGTCTGCTCAAAATGCCTAGCCATGCTAGGTGTCCTAGTGGCCCCCTCTGTAATTATTTTATAACATGTAAACCACACAATACCCAAAACCTGTAAACCCCACATTGTAACCCTTATAGAGAATAAACTTGAATTTAATTGAATTGAATATAGGTGCTTTGTATTTATGGACTTGAAACAAAGTCATATTATTTACCAGGTTATCCTAGAATAAATCTGGTCTTAGATTGTCCAAAATGCTCTGCTATAACAGGGATTTTCCATAAGTCTGTAAAGTACATCACCTAATTTAACAAATGTAATCGGTACTTTCAAAAATACACATTTTTTTTTTTTAACACACCGGCCATCTCCCACTGAGGTCGGGTGACCAAAAAAAAAGAAATACTTTCATCATCACTCACTCCATCACCCCCATCTTGTCAGCGGCACGTGGATATTACAACTCAGATGCTCCTCCAAACTTCAATATCCTCACCCCTCCTTCAAGATTGGCCAACTGGTTTCCCCTGAATCCCTTCATAAATGTTACCTTGCTCACACGCCAATGGTATGTCAAGTCAAAAAATCACTTTCCTTCACCCATTCCTATCTCTCAAATGCCTGTTACATCTCCAAGCCCCTCACATATAAATCCTCTCGAATGGAAGTAAGTCAATCTGACTTTGGGGGATGTAACATCCCCCAATGAAAAGCAGGGGCGTCACTAGCACGTTAAGAGACAATACAATAAGTGTCAGGGGCCTGAGACTGTTCAACTGCCTCCCAGCATACATAAGGGGGATTACCAATAGACCCCTGGCAGTCTTCAAGCAGGCACTGGACAAGCACCTAAAGTCGGTACCTGACCAGCCGGGCTGTGGCTCATACGTTGGATTGCATGCAGCCAGCAGTAACAGCCTGGTTGATCAGGCTCTGATCCACCAGGCGGCCTGGTTACAGACTGGGCCACGGGGATGTTGACCCCCGGAACTCTCTCCAGGTAAACTCCAGGCAATAGGTAATTTTACACTATGTATAATAATTGTACATGTACATGTGCCTAAATAAAACTACTTACTTATTCCTTTAAACCATCCCTGCAAGCTTTCCTAAGATGTTCTCATTGGAGAATATTCAGAGAAGAATGACAAAATTAATCCACTGTATAAGAAATCTCCCATATGAAGATAGACTGAGAACCCTGAACCTTCATTCTCTTGAGAGAGAATCAGAGGAGATATCATTGAAGTTTATAAGTGGATAATAGGCATAAATAAAAGTGATATAAATAAAGTACTGAGGATGTTGAATCACGTAAGAACCAGAAAAGTTTTTAAATTAGATAAGTTATGATTTAGAAAGGACGTGGGTAAGTACTAGTTTTCAAACAAGGTTGTGATGCATGGGACAATCTGCTGATTAGTAGGGTAATAGAGGCTAAGACCTTGAGTAGCTTTAAACGAAAGAGAAATTAGACAAATATATGAGCGAGAGACTGGGTCTGATTGGTACCTGAGGTACTGAAGCAAATTCTTGAGAAGCTCTGGGAAAGGGTTGGTCTAATGCATGGGTGGGAGTGGATAGTTCTGATAAGGTCCTGCCTTGTATGGGCCAGTAGGCCTGCTGCAGTGCTCCTCCATTCTTATGATATGGCATCAGCCTAGCAGCTGTGCTCCATAATGACCAAAATTTTTATACGTATTATTCACAATGACCAAAATTTTTGTATTACGTAGACAAAGCCTGAATAAAAACTTATTGCCACCACTAACATTCATGTACTTACTAATGTAAGCTGACCCCCTCTCTAAGGTTAATGTAAAAAACTCGATTTACCTTATTAATTTTCACACAGTTTAGTTACTTAGCTGTTTTAACTTTTAAGATTTAAATATTAAGATATTACAAGGACCACAATGGAAATAAGCCACTAACTTTTTTGGGGTAACCCAGGTAATTTTTAGTATATGATAATTGTTGTTATGGGTATCCGTGTTTACTTACACTGCCATCACCACTATTACCACCACCACCACTACTACTATTACCACTACCACCACTACTACCACTAGCACTACTACCACTACTATTACCATTACCACCACCACTACTAACACTACCACCACCACTACTACAAACACTACCATTACTACTAACACTACCACCATTACTACTAACACACTACCACCACTACTAACACTATCACCACCACTACTAACACTACCACCACTACTAACACTACCACCACTACTACTAACACTACCACCACCACTACTAACACTACCACCACTACTACTAACACTACCACCACTACTACTAACACTACCACTACTACTAACACTACCACCAACACTACTAACACTACCACTACTACTAACATTACCACCACCACTACTAACACTACCACCACTACTACTAACACTACCACCACCACTACTAACACAACCATTACTAACTACACACCATACTAACACCACCTACTAACACTACCACCACTACCACACTACTACCAACACTACCACTACTACTAACACACCACCACCACTACTACTAACACTACCACCACCACTACTAACCACCTACATACTACTAACACCACCACTACTACTACACCACCACCACACTACCAAAAACCACTACTACTAACAACTACCACCACTACTACTAACACTACACCACCACTACTAACACACTACCCCCCCACTGATAACACTACCACCACCACTGCTACACACTACCCCACACTACTAACACTACCACCACTACTACTAACACTAACCACTACTACTAACACTACCCCAACTACTACTACATCCAACCACCACTGCTACACTACCAACCACTCTACTAACTACCACACCACTACTACTACCCACACTACTAACCATACCACACACTATACTAAACACTACCCCACTACTACTAACATCCCCACACTGCTAACTTACTACCATACTACTAAAAACTACTACCAACCACCACTTGTCTAACACACCCACCACTACTACTAACTACCCCACATGCTAACACAACCACACCATTTGCTAACACTACCCCACTGCTACTAACACTACCACCAATACTAACACTACCACCATTTACTAAACAACTACACTACTAACTACACTACACTACATTTACGTAACACTAACCACACTACTATAACACCACCACTACTACTAACACAAACCACTAGCTACTAACATACCACCACTAAACTACTAAAACCACTACTACTAACTACTAACACTACCTACCATACTACTACACTAACACCACTACTACTAACACTTCCACCACTACTACTACTTACACACACTACTACTACATAACACACCACTAGTACTAAAACACCACCCTTATGTCACTAACTACTACTAGCCACCATCTACTAACACTACACCAATACTAACACACACCACACACTAACACTACCACCACCTACTAACACTACCACCACTACTAACACCTACCACTACTACTAACACTACCACCACCACACTAACACTGCCACTACTACTAACACTACCACCACCACTACTAACACTACCACTAACACTACACCACCACTACTAACACTACCACCACAACTACTAACACTACCACACTACTACTAACACTACCACCACTACTAACACTACCACCACTACTAACACTACCACCACCACTACTAACACTACCACCACTACTACTAACACTACCACCACTACTTACACTACCACCACTACTAACACTACCACCACCACTACTAACACTACCACCACTACTACTAACACTACCACCACTACTAACACTACCACCACTACTAACACTACCACCACCACTACTAACACTACCACCACCACTACTAACACTACCACCACCACTACTAACACTACCACCATACTAACACTACTAACACTACCACCACCACTACTAACACTACCACCACTACTACTAACACTACCACCACCACCACTAACACTACCACCACCACTACTACTAACACTACCACACCACTACTACTAACACTACCACCACCACCACTACTAACACTACCACCACTACTAACACTACCACCACCACTACTACTAACACTACCACCACCACTACTACTAACACTACCACCAACACCACTACTAACACTACCACCAACACCACTACTAACACTACCACCACTACTACAAACACTACCACCACCACCACTACTAACACTACCACCACCACTACTAACACTACCACCACTACTACTAACACTACCACCACCACCACTACTAACACTACCACCACTACTACTAACACTACCACCACCACTACTAACACTACCACCACTACTACTAACACTACCACCACCACTACTACTAACACTACCACCCCCACTACTACTAACACTACCACCACCACTACTACTAACACTACCACCACCACTACTACTAACACTACCACCACCACTACTAACACTACCACCACCACCACTACTAACACTACCACCACCACTACTAACACTACCACCACTACTACAAACACTACCACCACCACCACTACTAACACTACCACCACCACTACTAACACTACCACCACTACTACTAACACTACCACCACCACTACTACTAACACTACTACTAACACTACCACCACTACTACACCTCATTCAAGGTTACTATAACTTTCTAACAGCTGTCACTCGCTTGCTTTACTTTCACTTTGGTCAATACTTTAATACAAATAAAATTATACCGCTAAATTAATTTTTTGTTATGTGCATCATATAATATGTGCATATTAGAGTTTGTGTGAGTTTAAGAGTTATGTTATATAGTTACCATAAGCATATATGCCCCTGAGAAGGTCCTCCCTCAGACCCATACTGTCGAAGGTCGGTACAACCTGCACCTCCTCACTCGTCTCAAACTCAACATTAGAAAGATCTTCAGGTATAACTCTTCTGACTCGTGTCTCCGCCATGATGCTACTCCTCTCTCACTATCTCTCACTCACTGTCTCTCACTCACTGTCTCTCACTCTCTCACTCACACCAGCAGGAACACTGGAACGGAACTCTACTATGATATGCACTCAAAGTCAAACTTTAATGCCGCTTCTTTCTTTCTTTCTTATGTACTGTAATGTTACTTTTATCAACTGAATTTAACATTTATATATTTAAAATATTCATTTAGTTTATTTTTATTGCATAGTGGTGCACTTGGTCAATGTAATTAATAAAAGCTCACTCTAATAATTCTGTTACTTAAAGAGATATAAATATTTTACTACTTGTGTACAGTTTCAATATCGTATATTTTGGTTTAAAATATATCAGAAAATTATAGAGTAATGATATTTTATGCATAGTAATACATTATGTATATAACAATTTGTGTGGAGGTGCATGTTATATTGTTATGTTCTCTGGTGAACTATAAAAGTTATCAGTGCATAAAGTGTGAACACTTTGTTAGCTTGTTATAAGTAGCTTTGTTAAGTGTTATAGTGGTGTAAGTGTTGTAGTAGAGAGTGTTAGTGATGGTTGTAGTGTAGTATAGTGAAGCTTCACTACACTACACTAATATGTACAAAGGTCTGTGAAACGGAACAAAATATGAAAGAAATGTTTTGAGCGATGAAGTGTGTAGTGAAGTGTTGTAAAGTGTTTCTCTCCCTCTAACACTGTTGCTTCTCACTCCCCTACATCATGACTTAAAATATAAGACCTGCAAGAAAGTTTTGATGTGAGAATAAATGTTAATATGGCGATGTTGAGGGTAAGAGAGGCTAAGAATGTGAAGGAAGAAGATGAGAAGTGCATTAGTACCTTGTGAATACCATGATAATGTTTGACATGTGGTAAGCTGTCAAGTGTACCATGAAGAACAAGACGGAGGTGTCAAGCACAGATGTGTGTGTCAGGATGAGCAAGACTGGGGGGCTGGAGGGGGGAGGGTTGGGGATGCTAGAGAAGCGGCCACCTTCCCCCCACTCTCCCCCTCCCCCTCCCTCCCCTCCAACAAGCACTCACACTCCTCCCTCACAGACAAAAATTAAGTGTGAGAGTCCAGTGCCACCTTTGAGTGCCCAGGTTACATCTCCTCGACCCCCACCATCACCTCCCAACACTGGCCCAGGAGCTGAGATCAAGGGCAAGCCTGGGACTCCCATCCCCAGTGGTAGTGCCAGAGGTACCTTGCCCCGTCCTGGTAGTGCTGCTGGGGACGAGGTCAAGGTCAGTGCCGGCACTACTGCCACAGCCACTGCTGGGGGAAGATTGACGTTTTTTAAAGGTGAGACGGAGTAACTGATGAGTTTCAACGTGAGTGAGAATGTACTAAACCTGTATTTTTTTGTATGTATAATTAAAAACTTGTCACTGTGGTCAAAAAACTTACGCCCAAGATTTGACTTATATTGATTAAGTTATACGTTAATATAAAATCATTTGATAAAAGTGATCTCACAGTCGTTGCCAGGTCAATGCTCAATCAAGATAACTATCTTCCTACTAGCAGAGTTTTCCCATATATGTATCATCTCAAGTGACAGCTGTTAATCCAAGATATTGGATGACATCCCCATCCTTGGACCAAACCTGATTGCCTCCCAATTCTTCAGGTGCACTATGGCTTCTAAGGCTTTAGAGATCACCATCCATGGATGTAAAAATAGTCTTATATGTATAAATTTATTAAAACTCTTGGCAATCACTATCATAATGTAACCTAATATAAACCTGAATTATGTTGCTGGATAACTTGTTAAATTTGAACATAACTGTAATGCTTGGTACTTTCATTAATATTTTGTCATCTTCCCCTTGGCCATGATGACCATTTGAAGCCATATGGGCATGCTTTCACTCAGATTTCTGAAGTAATCAGTGTTTGCAACAAGACTGGTTCCAGAGGTAAGGGGATTGTCCTACGAAGAAAGGTTAAGGGAAATCAGTCTGACGACACTGGAGGACAGGAGGGTCACAGGAGACATGGATATCTTGTTGACCCAAATGTCCTTGATCTCCTCTTGCAGGCATGACATGGATGAAATTTGGCAGGATCCAGTCTTCTTTCTCATGATATTTCAGACATTCTCAATAAGATTGAGGTCTGGACTCTTCCCTGGCCACTGTAAAACTTCAATATTTTTCTCAGCAAGCCACTTGGTTACTTTTTTGGCCTTGTAACAGAGGACACAGTCATGCTTAAAGGTGGTACAGCCATGAATTTCAAAAATATTCGTCAGGTGGTCCTCAAGAATGGAAATTTAGGGATCTTCATTCATTGTAACCACTAAAGCAACCCCAAACCATGGCAAATCGAAGTTTTTTTTTACAGTGCACAGTGTATGCAGGGTCATACCTGCCAGTGGAGGAGGAACACCTGGCCCTGCTTGGAGCTTGGAGCTTGGACAACCTTGAGTGCACTGAAATGTGGATTCATTCAACCACATGACTTTTTCAGTCCAGGGCGCATATATCCTGGCAAACTGCAGGCATTCCGTTTTTATATGAAGTGTAAGGAGGGGTTTCTCTGCAGCACAATGACTTGGCAGGCAGAAGTTTTTTTTTGCAGGTGGTGATGGATGCACTAAATTGAAAGGTCACCCAAGAGTTCAGGATGCATTTCTTTGAGCTGCATTACAACTCAGTGAAATGCATCCTGAATACCTGGGTGACCTCTCTATTTAATGCATCCATCACTGCCTACAAAATAAATAAATAAGTAATTAATATATATCTATCTGTCTGTCTGAGCTGTGATGTCAGCACACTTCTAGGAAGACAGTAATTAATTTAATGATGGTGAAAGTGTTTCTTCTTTTTTTTTTTAGATCACCTTGGGAGATGGTCGGTGTTAAAAAATATTATGGACTGATTAAACCATACCACGGGTGGGATTTGAACCCGTGGTCAGAGAGTCAAATCCCGCCCATGGTATGGTTTGTTTGCAGTTGTGTCATTACGATTTCATGAGTCATGGACTGATTGTCTGTTTTAGAAACTCGCCTAATAAAGTCTTAGATTAGGCTATTAGTATTTGTTACAATAAATTACAGGATTATTTTGTATACTTTAATTTTTTTTTTTTTTTTTTTTTTTTTTTCTTTCAGAGGGCAAATTTCTGCTGGAGTTATCACATCGAACAGATATGGGTGCCCCTGCCGGTTGGGTGCCAGTAAAGAGCAAGACTTACTGGCCACCACCTTCATCTGCCACCACCACTACCACACAACACCCACTGCGTCATGATACTCCTACTTCACAGTCTGGTATATATTATACTACCTTTCTCTCTACTTTACAGATATTTTAATCATTCTGATCAGTATCAAAAACTTCATGTGTGTTGTACATTACCATATGGCATTGGAGGTAACATGACAATGAAAATAGTTTTCCCCTCAAATGATCATCTGAGTATGCTGTGCTGTATAGTATAAGCTATAACATATCTATGAGTAAAATGCTGCCTCAGGACAATTATGACATTTGAGCTTCAGTTAGGAATATTCTTTGGGTCTGATTGGATGTCCTGAGGATCAGTGAACCTTTCTGTTGTCTTGCCAATTGATACCCTAACCCCCTCACATTGTGCAGGGGAAGTGTGTGTCATTGTTCCCTAATGCAATACTGTATATGCAATGTAAAGTTCGCCAGGATCATTGCCCAAAATAAAGTAAGGTAATACTGTAAAATAACAAAGTGGAACAGACCTTATAGAGAAGTATGTTGATGACCCAGGAAAGAGACATCAGACTTTTCAGTAGTGCATTATCATAGTACTATACTGTATACCAAGAGAAAATATAGGCACTTATATCCTTTATGCCTTTCATTATGAGGTCCAGGGAAACATGTACTCTCATGTGCCTTTGATGTCATAAGGTCTCACTTTGGTCATTGGAAGAACTTGTCTGGTGTAAGCAGATACAGTAAACCTCATAAAGTAACACTATATAGTTCAATTTTGTCCAAATGAGATTGAAAGAGAGCATCCTTTTTTTTTTTTTTACCTGAAAAACCATGATAGTATGCTCCATAAATGTGGAAGCATGCTTCATGTAATATTTTGGTTATCTGTTCTGTGGGCTTTTTACCCATGGTTTCAAGATGGGCCTAGAGGTTGAGGGTTTGGAGGGATATTTCCACCCATGCTGCCTACAGTTGCTTTCTCAGATTGTATGTCAAATTACTTTGGATATTTTCGTAATCCCATTTTTCTCCGGATATTAACCATGACACCCATGAGGAATATTAATGATGCCAAAGGTGCAAAGAAAAAACATGAACCTCGAATGATAATGAATTTACCATCAGAACATTTAGAGAAAATGAAAAGAAAGTAAGAGCTTGTGAAATGAGTAGTGCAGATTGTGACTTAGTGAAAAGAATATCAAAGAGGTCAGTACTGCAGGATAAAACAGACCAGAGATTCATTACAGAATACTTAGCACTCCAGTACAGTCATCAACTTCTGACAACTCTGTATTGTTATTAGTACAAAGCCACAGCCACGCACCTCAACTCGGTACATGGGCATACTACTAAGAACAAGTATCTCTTTGATATATCACATGTCTGACTCAACTTTAGAAACTCCAGTGTAAATAAAAGTCCCAGTATTATGGAGCGTGCCACTTGAAAATGTCAAAAGTTTCTATCTGCCAACAGCTTTAATTATATTGTTAAAAAGCACCAATTAATTCTTGCTTAACTGTTATATATAGTATACGTATAATTAACTAAATACTCATGTCTTAATGTCACCACTCTATAACAAGCACATCATAAACCTGATGCAAAGCCATGTAAAGTATTTGTAGTTGTCCACCTCATCATTTGCAGCCTGTCTCTTCATACTTGTGACTGAAATGAATTACTCATGTTTTACTGATACACAGTACGTACTACATAAAATTATATGCCAGGACTAGAATTAAGTACAGTGTGTAAGGTTTTAGGATTCATTTGCCCAAAATGCTTTGCATAATAAGCAACTTTCTATTGACTATGCATTTGTATCAATTATTGTATCAGAATTATAACCAAATGATATGTACCTCTAACTACTATACATACTTCTTTATACGACCATTAGAAATACACATTTAATCTATTTTACTTATTTTAGTAAGACCATGTCGACATTCTAAGCACATTTCCATGTCGTCAGTCAGTGACAAGTAGAATGTAAGGCAAGATAAACTTCAGTAATTTGTACCTAGTAGAATGCAGTATGGAAAGCAAAATGTTTGGCTAATTTAGAGGTCTCAAACAAATTTGTACTCATTCAAAAAATTCTAAATTTTGGTGATCATTTTTAATTAAATTGGATCCTGAACAATGAATTTTCAAATAAGAAATATTATTGTTTGTTTATACAGTATAAGGAGTAATGTTAATTTTAATTTTCAGTTTCAGATGACTGCTCATCATTAAATTCTTCTCCATGGACCGGTGAGCATTTGAGGAAGCAGTTGACACCTCGGCGTAGCAAAGCCTTTGTGTTACAGCAAGTTTCTTTCCACTGGCATGCATTGCCTTTTACACGTAATATAAGGAAAAAAATAAGATATAGACGAAACCCTTTTGTATATATCAATGGCCCAGTTGGTTGCTGGGACCCTACTGAGGAGACATTTGTTTCACGTAGAACAGTTAAATCAGAATGTAATGAAAGTGCACTTAACGAAAAGAAATATAAATTAGAGGCACAAATTGTGTTATTGGGATCAAAACTTGGTTATAAGGTAGATACTGTTACTTCAATTCAAGCACTCTTTGAAAAGCCAGTAGTAAATGCTGAAGTTGTTGATCCCACTTTTGTGTCGCCTAGGAAAAGGTATCTACGGCAGATGGAAACAGACCAAGAATCTATACATCGTAAAAAGCTGCATTCTGGAGCAAACAGTGTCTCTCACATCCCTGGGGAGAACTCTTCATCCTCTTCTACAACTCATTCTCAGCCCAATAGAAGTGCCATTAATTCATTGACACCATCAGTATATAGCATTGAATCCATTTTAAACAATGAAACTGCCAACAGGAAGAATGATTCCTTCCTTAGAACTTTATTAAAACCAGAACCGAAACCCAGTGGTACTCAGTCTAAATCTAGTGTTTTAAGAGACCGTATTAGCAGTGATGCGCTAGGAAGTACAGTTAAGATAGAGAGACAAGAACGGACAGACAGAGTGGCTTCTGACAGACTGGAACAACTAAGTGCAAGTCAGATTGAAAGGACGGACCCACTTGTTGATCTAAGCAGACACACTACAGAGAGATATGACCTATCACGTTATGGACCCATGGCAAGTTTGTATGGCCTTAATCCATACTTGGACCCTCGGTACATGATGCTACAATCTCTACAATCTCTGACTCCTGGATTAGTTCCTTCAGTGTCTTCCCAGCATACAGAGATGGCACAAGCTGTTGCTGCAGCAACTGCTGCAGCTGCAGCTGCTGCAGCAGCAGGACTTAGTACATACCAATTAGGACATTTGCATCCATCTCTGACTGGGTCCCAGTATCAACACCTACTGTCTGGGAATTTATCTAGTGGGTATACACCGCCTACTTCAATAGCAGCCCAACTGTTGCGGCCTCAGTGTCAGTCATCACGATCCTCGCCTCATGCCATGTCCCATAGCCCGAGTCCTAAGCCACAGGTTCCCAGCACACCGGCATCCCCTCACTTGAGCAGAGGGGCCAGCCCTCGTGGCACTTCCTCACCGTGGCAGCATCCACCAGCTGTGCACCCACTCTCACCACATAGGTCATCATCTTCACCACTACCATCTCCACCTCCTCAAGGTTAGTAATCTTACATTTGCTCTTGTCTTTAATATAAACACACCCCCAATCTTCAGTGAATGTATTCTCTAGATATGTATGTATGATGATATTAGCTACTTTTGATTACAGCGCACCCAACAAATTTGTGGGAGATTTATTACAAAGAGGGCCTGGCAAATCCATGAACTGCGAGTACCTCTGAATACTGTCAGTGTAATAACACTTTCTGAATTAGGCTCATTTTGTGGTTCATAGGCACTATCTCTTGTTATTGCTGCAACTTCAAGAGTGTTCTTGCTAAGTGAACGGTTCTTTTTCTAAGGAATTAGGACATTCCCTTTCTCACATCAAACCTGAATATAGTACCCCCCACCTCTCTATTTCTGCCAATATAGTATGAAGATTTTCATATTAATCCAAATTCTATATCTTTTAGCTTGTGACTTAGTTTGGTCTTTTGACAAATGGATTTAACCATAAAGTGTCACTCAGCACTGCCATTGTTGTTGACTTCAATTCTAATGCAGTCACTGCTGATCTTGTAAAGCAGTGAGGCATAAATTGCCTCACTGCTATGTTTAATACCTGGAGTTTACCTGGAGAGAGTTCCGGGGGTCAACGCCCCCGCGGCCCGGTCTGTGACCAGGCCTCCTGGTGGATCAGAGCCTGATCAACCAGGCTGTTACTGCTGGCTGCACGCAAACCAACGTACGAGCCACAGCCCGGCTGATCAGGAACCGACTTTAGGTGCTTGTCCAGTGCCAGCTTGAAGACTGCCAGGGGTCTGTTGGTAATCCCCCTTATGTATGCTGGGAGGCAGTTGAACAATCTCGGGCCCCTGACACTTATTGTATGGTCTCTTAACGTGCTAGTGACACCCCTGCTTTTCATTGGGGGGATGTTGCATCGTCTGCCAAGTCTTTTGCTTTCGTAGTGAGTGATTTTTGTGTGCAAGTTCGGTACTAGTCCCTCTAGGATTTTCCAGGTGTATATAATCATGTATCTACTTACACTTAGGTCACACTACACATACATGTACACATTTATTTATACACACTCATCTGAGTTTTCTTTGATTTTATCTTAATAGTTCTTGGTCTTATTACTTTTCCTTTTATATCCATGGGGAAGTGGAATAAGAATCTTTCCTCCGTAAGCCATGCGTGTTGTAAAAGTCAACTAAAATGCCGGGAACAATGGGCTAGTAACCCCTTTTCCTGTAAAGATTACTAAAAAGAATGAGAAGAAGAAAATTGTCAAAGTGGGAAGTCTGAATGTGCGTGGATGTTGTGCAGATGATAAGAAAGAGATGATTGTGGATGTTATGAATGAGAAGAAGCTGGATGTCCTGGTTTTTAAGTGAAACAAAGCTGAAGAGGGGTGGGAAGTTTCAGTGGAGAGGAATAAATGGGATTAGGTCAGGGGTTTCAAATAGAGTTAGAGCTAAAGAAGGAGTAGCAATAATGTTGAAGGATAAGCTATGGCAGGAAAAGAGGACTATAAATGTATTAATTCAAGGATTATGTGGAGTAAAATAAAGATTGGATGTGAAAAAGTGGGTTATAATAAGCGTGTATGCACCTGGAGAAGAGAGAAGTGTAGAGGAGAGAGAGAGATTTTTGGGGAAATGTTGAGTGAATGCGTGGGGAGTTTTGAATCAAGTGTGAGAGTAATGGTGGTTGGGGATTTCAATGCTAAAGTGGGTAAAAATATTATGGAGGGAGTAGTAGGTAAATTTGGGGTGCCAGGGGTAAATGTAAATGGGGAGCCTTTAATTGAGCTATGTGTAGAAAGAGATTTGGTAATAAGTAATACATATTTTATGAAAAAGAGGATAAATAAATATACAAGGTATGATGTAGCACGTAATGAAAGTAGTTTATTAGATTATGTATTGGCGGATAAAAGGTTGATGGGTAGGCTCCAGGATGTACATGTTTATAGAGGGGCAACTGATATATCGGATCATTATTTAGTTGTAGCTACAATTAGAGTAAGAGGTAGATGGGAAAAGAGGAAGGTGGCAACAAGTAAGAAGGAGGTGAAAGTGTATAAACTAAGGGAGGAGGAAGTTCGGGTGAGATATAAGCGACTATTGGCAAAAAAGGTGGGCTAGTGCAAAGATGAGTATGTGGGGGGGTTGAAGAGGGTTGGAATAGTTTTAAAAATGCAGTATTAGAATGTGGGGCAGAAGTGTGTGGTTATAAGAGGGTGAGGGCAGGAGGAAAGAGGAGTGATTGGTGGAATGATGAAGTAAAGGGTGTGATAAAAGAGAAAAAGGTAGCTTATGAGAGGTTTTTACAAAGCAGAAGTGTTATAAGAAGAGCAGAGTATATGGAGAGTAAAAGAAAGGTGAAGAGAGTGCAAAAGGAGAGCAGATGATAGAGTGGGAGAGGCACTGTCAAGAAATTTTAATGAAAATAAGAAAAAATTTTGGAGTGAGTTAAACAAGTTAAGAAAGCCTAGGGAAAGTATGGATTTGTCAGTTAAAAACAGAGTAGGGGAGTTAGTAGATGGGGAGATGGAGGTATTAGGTAGATGGCGAGAATATTTTGAGGAACTTTTAAATGTTAAGGAAGAAACAGAGGCAGTAATTTCACGCACTGGTCAGGGAGGTATACCATCTTTTAAGAGTGAAGAAGAGCAGAATGTAAGTGTGGGGGAGGTACGTGAGGCATTACGTAAAATGAAAGGGGGTAAAGCAGCTGGAACTGATGGGATCATGACAGAAATGTTAAAAGCAGGGGGGGATATAGTGTTGGAGTGGTTGGTACTTTTGTTTAATAAATGTATGAAAGAGGGGAAGGTACCCAGGATTGGCGGAGAGCATGTATAGTCCCTTTATATAAAGGGAAAGGGGACAAAAGAGACTGTAAAAATTATAGAGGAATAAGAAAAAGTTTTGGAGTGAGATTAACAAGTTAAGGAAACCTAGAGAACAAATGGATTTGTCAGTTAAAAATAGGAGAGGAGAGTTATTAAATGGAGAGTTAGAGGTATTGGGAAGATGGAGGGAATATTTTGAGGAATTGTTAAATGTTGATGAGATAGGGAAGCTGTGATTTCGTGTATAGGACAAGGAGGAATAACATCTTGTAGGAGTGAGGAAGAGCCAGTTGTGAGTGTGGGGGAAGTTCGTGAGGCAGTAGGTAAAATGAAAGGGGGTAAGGCAGCCGGGATTGATGGATAAAGATAGAAATGTTAAAAGCAGGTGGGGATATAGTTTTGGAGTGGTTGGTGCAATTATTTAAAAATGTATGGAAGAGGGTAAGGTACCTAGGGATTGGCAGAGAGCATGCATAGTTCCTTTTTTAAAAAGGCAAAGGGGATAAAAGAGAGTGCAAAAATTATGGGGGGATTAAGTCTGCTGAGTATACCTGGTAAGTGTATGGTAGAGTTATTATTGAAAGAATTAAGAGTAAGACAGAGAATAGGATAGCAGATGAAACAAGGGGGCTTTAGGAAAGGTAGGGGGTGTGTGGACCAGGTGTTTACAGTGAAACATATAAGTGAACAGTATTTGATAAGGCTAAAGAGGTCTTTGTGGCATTATGGATTTGGAAAAGGCGTATGACGGTGGATAGGGGGGCGATGTGGCAGATGTTGCAAGTGAATGGTGTAGGAGGTAGGTTACCAAAAGCAGTGAAGAGTTTTTACGAGGATAGTGAGGCTCAAGTTAGAGTATGTAGGAAAGAGGGAAATTTTTTCCCAGTAAAAGTAGGCCTTAGAAAAGGGATGTGTGATGTCACGTGGTTGTTTAATATATTTATAGATGGGGTTGAAAGGGAGAAGAAAATGCGAGGGTCTTGGCAAGAGGCGTGGAGTTAAAAGAAAAAGAATCACACACAAAGTGGGAGTTGTCAAAACTGCTCTTTGCTGATGACACTGTGCTCTTGGGGAGATTCTGAAGAGAAGTTGCAGAGATTGGTGGATGAATTTGGTAGGGTGTGCAAAAGAAGATAATTAAAGGTGAATACAGGAAAGAGTAAGGTTATGAGGATAACAAAAAGATTAGGTGATGAAAGATTGAATATCAGATTGGAGGGAGAGAGTATGGAGGAGGTGAATGTATTCAGATATTTGGGAGTGGGGCGTGTCAGCGGATGGGTCTATGAAAGATGAGGTGAATCATAGAATTGATGAAGGGAAAAGAGTGAGTGGTGCACTTAGGAGTCTTGGAGACAAAGAACTTTGTCCTTGGAGGCAAAGAGGGGAATGTATGAGAGTATAGTTTTACCAACGCTCTTTATGGGTGTGAAGCATGGGTGATGAATGTTGCAGCGAGGAAAGGCTGGAGGCAGTGGAGATGTCATGTCTGAGGGCAATGTGTGGTGTGAATATAATGCAGGAATTCGTAGTTTGGAAGTTAGGAGGAGGTGCGGGATTACCAAAACTTTGTCCAGAGGGCTGAGGAAGGGTTGTTGAGGTGGTTCGGACATGTAGAGAGAATGGAGTGAAACAGAATGACTTCAAGAGTGTATCAGTCTGTAGTGGAAGGAAGGCGGGGTAGGGGTCGGCCTAGGAAAGGTTGGAGAGAGGGGGTAAAGGAGGTTTTGTGTGCGAGGGGCTTGGACTTCCAGCAGGCATGCATGAGCGTGTTTGATAGGAGTGAATGGAGACAAATGGTTTTTTAATACTTGACGTGCTTTTGGAGTGTGAGCAAAGTAACATTTATAAGGAACATAAGGAAGGAAGGAACACTGCAACAGGCCTACTGACCCATGCGGAGCAGGTCCATGTCCCCCCAACCCCCGGATTAGCCCAATGACCCACCCAGTCTGGTCACCTCCATTCAAGGAGGGAGCACGGAACCAGACCCAGCAGCACAAGCTAGTCAGGTCCAACTCACACCCACCCACACCCACTCGTGTATTTATCTAACCTATTTTTAAAACTACACAACGTTTTAGCCTCAATAACTGTACTCGGGAGTTTGTTCCACTCATCCACAACTCTGTTACCAAACCAGTGCTTTCCTATATCCTTCCTGAATCTGAATTTTTCCAACTTGAAACCAT